TGTACAAAACTTAATTGGCGCATTTGTGGGTGATGCTCTTAAGTATTGCTCTGGTTCTCTGTTGTCGCGACCTCCCCGCAATTTTAGGTGTCAACATCTGCATGCTCGAGAATCTTACCCATTAATAATGAAGTGTTAAGCGGGCTTTCACAATAGAACAGAAAGAAACATCAGCAAATGCATTGTTGCTTTTAAATACCATATCAAGTGTTAGAGCTGAAGTATTCGCAATCGATGAAAGCGAAGCGCCGGCTCGGCTACGCCGCACACAGGAATTTCCCGTTCTTTAAACGCTCAGTTTCTTGTCGTGGTGACAAGAAGGTACCTTGTAGTTGTGGATGAAACAAAGTTGACTCTATCACGTTATAAAAATGAGTTTTGTATGACATGTTTCCTTTTGAGTACTCTTTGTCAACTAAAAGAAGCATCTTCCAATAGCCAACAATCTCTCAATAAAGCCAAAATAAGATCTCACCTGACAAATGATAACTTATATCAACTCGACCAGCCAGCTAAGGCATTCGCAGACGGAAGAGGGCATCTTCAAGGATCGCCAGAGTTTCGAATTCAATCAATTTATGTCTAACACACGCCAAAAAGAAGAAGGAAAAAACAAGTTGTCTGTTTTCTTATACTAAAGACTTCAGAATATAATTCCCCTGCTCCCACCAGCAATCAACAAGACTTAAATTATAATTTTGTGATGTTACTCTTTATAAAGTATATTGCTGTAAAGCTATCATCCCCTGAATAAATAGGAAGGCAATGATCGAAAAGCAGATAGGAAGGAAGATCAAGTGACTAACATAGGTTTGGAGCTATGTTTGGCAGAGTTTGATCAGTTTTGCGTAGAATGGCATAGTGAGACATCACATTTGTAATAATCGGGCTCAAAAAAAAAAAAATAAAAAATGGGAGGCCAAAAGCCTAAATATTTCTTCAGCAAGGCCTCAGCCACCTCCTCCGCCCAAGAAGTCTCCTTCTTCCTCTTACAGCACCATTCATGAGTTAGAGAAGGGAGAGAGAGAAAATGGAGAAGACACCAGAAAGAGAGAAAGAAAAGAGGGGTTTCCTTGCATGTACGCTCCGGAGGTCCCAACAAGCCAGATTAACTCCGTTTCGTAGTGCTCGGCAATGATTCACAGCCTTTATTCATTTAATCAAAGAAATTTTGGTAGTTAAGTTGTAATCCAGAGTTATTCAAATTCGAAGTTACTGGGTTCAATCTAGGAGTTGTTTAACTGCAAAATTATGTAATAATGAAATTTTAGGGTGTCATGGAGCTATGGGGTTTTACAAAAGTCAATTTGGAGTTACGGTTTGAATGGGGTAAATTTTTGAAGTTTCACGTACTTGGATGGAAACGTTTGGAATTGCTGTGTTTGCCATTCGTTTTGCCCATTTTTGGCCATCTTTTGGGTTGATGATGTTTAGGATCTTTTATTACTTCGAAAGTAGCTTTCTTTTGACCGTAAGCTTATTGGAATTGGAGTCTGATAGAGAGAGATATGATTCGACCAAATTCCACGCGCGAGCTCTCCCATTACAGCTGACAACAATAAATGGTTTGCTTTAGCCGAGCTTTTTGTTGGCACATCGGAGTCATTTTGTCACTGAATATGCTTAGTTAGTCAAGTTTTAGTTAAGGGAGTTATCTATTTGATTTTGATATCCATTTCTCACTTAAGTGATAGGATTTCGATTCGTCGGCTCGAAATAGTTTTTGTTGTTTGATTGCATTATCAGGTGCGTAGTGCTTATTTTTTCATTGTTTATGTAAACTCATATTTTGAAAGTGAGAGGGATTAAATACATAGTTATGCAAGGCATTGCATGGTATGAATTTGTTAAAACAAAAAATTAATGTTTAGAGCATAATTGTTGAGAGTTGGATCGATCGTTTACTATGATTTTGGTTATCTGAATTGGTATAGTAAAGTATCCTTTTAAAATAGTTTGAGTTGATTATTTCTGAATGGTTTGAGAAATGTCTTACGAAAGAAATTGCAATAGGTTATATGTATTGCTTTATAAGCTCGATTTATGAAGTGTATTCTGCTTGATGAATTGATTTATGGAATGTTCTATATTTTGGTTTGTAAAATCGATTCATGAGATGAATTTTGGATTTTTTTTTTGAATTTTGGATTGACTTTGTGCATTATTAGAGGATGATGATAGTGGTTTGATGCTCATTGTTGTTATGTTATGAACCCGTTAAGGGGTTGTGAGTATGCATACTGTTTTCAAAACATACTTTTGGGCCAAGTCACCGGCTAAATAGTTGGGACTTAGCTAAAGGGGGATCTTTGTGGCCCTTGTCACGGGACTTTAAGCAAGACAATTGTTTAATGAAATGGACAATTAATGTTTGATTTGATATTGTTGATTGAATGAGTATTTCTGATACATATAATGCTTTGTTGAATGGATATAACTCATTCTTCATATCTAACGTATATTATGGCTGCGTTTGGTTAGACTTTTGGGAAAGTCTTTGGAAAAATGCAAAGGACTTAAAATGCAAATTGTGTTTGTTAGATTGCAAAGCAACTTTGGGTAAAATAGTGTTTGGAAAAATTATTCTTGCAAAGAACTTTTCTTCTTTTTTTTTTTTATAAAAAAAACTCAAACCCTTCATCGGAGCCGACAAAGGGTAGGCGCTCATTGGCGACCTAGATTTGGCGCCGGCGACCGTCGCCTGAGGTCAAACGACCTAATGTAGCCTCCAACGACCACCAACAAGGGCCGCTTGGGGTCGAGTGACCCTCAACGAGGGTCATGCAACCTAGGTGAGGATTGCTTGAGGCCGCGCAACCCTTGCGACCCCTCACGGAGGTCGCTCGACCCAGGTGAGGGCTGTTTGGGTCACTCGACCCCAAGCGGCCCCTCGCCGAGGTTGCGTGACCCTTGCAACCCCTCACGGAGGTCGCGCGATCCCCGAGGGTCTTCTGGGTAGCGCGACCTCAGGTGGCCCTCGCTTGGGTCACATGGCGCCTCTTCGAGGTTGCGTGACCTCTAGGTGAGGGCCGTCTGGGTCACGTAGGCCCTCGCAGAGGTCATGCGACCCCAGGCGATGATCACTGGGTCGTGTGACCACACTGGCCCGTCACCATCCCCACGTAGCCATGTGTGACCATGCTGGTTGAGCTTAGCAGAGAAGATGATGAATAGTCATAGATGATGGCAAAACCGAAAAATCAAAAAATCTATGAGGGTAGTTTCGGAAGAAATTTTTTTTACTAACTCAAGAACATTGCATGCTGAGAAAGCTGAAAACCCAAGGCAGCTTTCAGTCTTGGGCTTAGAGCCTTCCCTATGATTTTTGCTGAATGGGCTTTTTAAAATTGTTCCCAAACACCTGTATTATGGCTCCCAAAGTTCCTTAGGAAACGCTTTCCTAAAGCACGTTGGGCAAATGTAAGTATCGTTTGGCAAATTTTTTTAAGAGTTTTGGAGAGATGATTGCATTTTCAAAGGTCTCTAAAGCATTTAGCCAGATGCAGGTCTGGAAGTGCTTTGAGCATTTTCGGAATGCAAATATATATTTTTCTTCCAACTTTGCCCTTGCTAATCTTTCTTAATTCCAAAAAATGTCCCCACCTCATGCGATGTCACCGGTGAGAGTTCAGGTTGGCAGTCGGCAAGCCTCACCTGAGGTTGTGGGAACCCAAGCGACGGTCGCCTGAGGTCAAGCGACCTTAGGCGAGGTTTGCCGGCAGCTGAGTTTCGCGGGTAAAAGTTTGAGATTTTTTATAAAACAATACTAGCAAAAGTTCTTTACAAAGTTTAGTTTTGAAAAAGCCCCCGATTCACATTTTCTCGAAGACTTTCTCTAAAAAAGTGCTCCCTAATGCACCTCTAAGAAATGTTAAGTTACGTCAACTTGACCGGCCAGCGAATTGGGGGCTTTTGCAGCCGGCCAGCGATTGGGGGCATTTGGAGATGGAAGGTGCCATTTTAAAGGATCACCGGAGATTCCTATTCAACGAAAAAGACAAAAAGGCATATGTCTTCTTATTACTAAAGGCTTAGAATGATCCCCCTGCTCACACCGGCAATCGACAAAACTAAATTATCAATGTAATTTCTTGTAAGTATATTGCTGTGATGTTGTCGTATAAAGTGTTCATACATGGATGCCAACTCCACTGAGTTTTTGACTATGTGTCGTGCAAACGGGTCATGTCGTGAGCCAGCTAAGTGGAAGTAAATACTGGACTATCTGGAGGCAGTCATCTCGTGTCCAAACCGTGAGCTTCTCTATCATCTTATTTTCAAGAGTTAATACCACGAAAACCCCTAAATTGGTACACATAAATTTACCAAAACTAATTGATAATTACGTATTTACAAAATACCGTCTCAATTCATCTTATTTCATCAGATCCGAGATGTGATATGGTTCCGAAGGTCCGTGAAAAATTTATCCCAAACTAATTTTTTGACCACCGTAAACCCTAAATTGGTACATTTGTGATAAATTTATTCTTCGTTAGTTTCCATTAAACTGATTAATATCACAAAAAATCACAGATATGTACACATGTGATAAACGGAGGGTAATATCCAAAACTGATACATTTATCAACTATCGCGTGTCATTTAACAAAATAATTTGATAATAAAATTTAATGAAAACTAACGGAGGGTAAATTTATTACAGGTATACCGGTTTGAGATTTTTGATGTTAAAAAAAATTAATTTAAATAAATTTGTTATATATGTACTGATTTGAGATTTTTCGTAATATTAACTCTATTTTCAATTGGGGTCGCAACTGCTGTTCCTCAAATAAGTTGATTTCAAGCCCGTCTTTTCTTTTGTGTCGGCACATCTAACAAAGCAGTCTCGTCAAAGTTTTTGTTTTTTGGACCGGCGGGGGACAGAATAAGTACTCCTTCGCAGAACAAATGTTTGCATGAAGGGCTGACCTATGCGCCAAATAGCGCATGAACATAAACATTGTCAATCTTCAACTCTGCAGAAGAGAGCAGAGATGGCTGCTTCTTCACTCATGGCATTTCAAGTGAACTGCTCCGTTCAGAGGTCCTCCAATCCCCTCAGTTTTGATCACTTCAAGTCTAACCTCTCTACTGCTTTCAAAGTAAAGTCTCTCTCTCTCTCTCTCTCTCTCTCACACACACACACACACACACACACACACACACACACACACACACTAACACTATGATTTCATCACTTTAGCCACATCTAACTTGAGTTTAGCTTAGTGAAATTATCACACTCAATTCGAATCATGTAGCTCCGAGTGTCGTTGAAGTGCTTAACTAGTCACTCACAAGGAGATATCTTGACAATCTGCCAAACTGACTGCGTATTTTGCAACTTTTGTGAGCAGCCACATGGGAAAGATTTGCAGCAATCTCCTGTTCGAGTTGATGTTTCGAAGGTGATCAAGAAGGTGTACCTGAAAATATTGGATGCATTTGTCGACTCGGTGTTTGAGTTCGATGACCAACCATTATTCCCATCTCAGGTTAGCTATTTAGACCCCATTCAGTTAAGGAGATAATTCACTAGACGAGGGGAATTCAAGATCACCTTTTTAAAGATATTACATGTGAAGGACCAACCGGGTTCTCATTTATTCCTCTGTTCAATTCATCGGATATGTGCAGAGAAATTTCGCGCCAGTTAGTGAATTGGGAAGTGCCGTTAACATCAGCGACAATATTGAAGGGCATATACCGGATGATTTTCCAGAGGGTGTTTACATTAGAAACGGTCAGGACATGCACGTTTCCGATTATATCTTGTAGTAAAATGAATTTTATCTTATGATGCTGCTACAGAAGCTAAAGCATGCACTAGCTCAGGCTAAAAATAGCAGTAGAGAAGCGTAACTGCTGTTTATTTTTGGTGCTTATTGGTTTTATAGTTGTCGAATGAAACGAAACTGTGAGCGATATGCTACAAATTTGGCCTTGTCATACAATTTGTTCAGACTCAATGTCATCTACTGATGGGACAAAAAGCTTAAACTATTATGAACTAATCCTAAGATGCCTCGCTTCATGTATGCTGCTCACTTTACGAACGAATTTCCCCTTGAAGTATGAAGTCGTATTTACTTCTTCTTTCTTAGTTTCTGTTACCACAATTGCAGGGTCAAACCCACTATTTGGAGGACTAAAATCAACCAAATCCATGTTTGGACGATCAAGTCATGCTTGGATCGAAGGAGAAGGAATGCTTCATGCTGTGTACTTGAACAAATATATTGACGGGATGTGGACTTTACGATACAAGAACAGATATGTTGAAACGGAAACGTACAAGCTAGAAAAACAAAGGGACAAACCGTCCTTTCTACCTGCAATTGAAGGCGACTCCTTGGCCGTTTTGTCTGCTCATCTGCTAAATCTGGTGCGTCCACCAACCTAATCATGTCCATCCTTGCATAATTAAAAATAATAGGCCTAAGTTTGTCGTTTAAGGGAAATATCAGGACATTTCAGGAATGAACTGGGGACCTTTGAATGTAGTTAAGGGGTTTATTTGTGTAAATATGCGCAGTTTGATATCAATATTGATTAACGGCAAAAGGACACTATAAGTGCCATAAGTTGTGTACGGAGATCACTTTGGTGCTATAACTTTTTTTCGGATCACTTTGATGCCAACTTTTTTGAAAAACGATCACTTTAGTGCCAATGCTGACATGGCCGCTAGAAATCTAATGTGACTCTTTTTTTATTAATTTTCGATGTTGACATGGCTCGCCGGAAATCTGACGTGGCTCTTTTTTTGGCCGGAATTTTGGCTGGAGTCACTAAAGTGATCTCTTTTCCTCCGATTTGGCACCAAAGTGATCCGAAAAAAAAGTTATAGTATCAAAGTGATCTCCGTACATAACTTATGGCACTTATAGTGTTCTTTTGCCATTGATTAACTGATGATTCTGAGTACGAATTTTGGTGATTTCAAAACTAGATGGTAGAAAATGTTGCAGATGTTAAGCTAACCTGTTCTGACCGTGCTATTTCTCCCTTGAAATTTCTCGGTTGAGATTTGGGAAGGTGAACAAACTGTTTAGCAACACTAATGTCCTCGAACATGGAGGGAAAATCTACTCGATCGCAGAAAATTACCTGCCTCAAGAGATCGACATTTTCTCGCTCGAAACTCTAGGCGATTGGAATGTGAATGGAGGGTGGAATCGACCATTTACAAGCCACCCAAAGGTTCGTCACCATGAACCTGTACATTATCTGAACATCATGCATTATATTATGCAGCTGAAAAAAACCCATTCTCTCTCGTTTCACATATGCCAGAGAGCACCGGAGACCGGGGAGTTAATTATGGTTGGGGTAGATGCGGTAAAACCGTTCATGGAACTTGGAGTGATCTCTGGTAACTCTTCTTAATTTTTACGACACTCTGTCGTCAACTTGGTAAAAGCTTTTTTTACAAATTTCTGATCCAAATATTCAGCTGATGGCAAGGAACTAGTTCATAAAGCCGATCTCAATCTCAATAGATGTCCCCTCTGTCATGAAATTGGGGTCACGCAGAGGTTAGTATATGTGTGTCCTGTTAACAAAATATGCGGCCTGCTGGTCAATTTAATATCTGTCGAAGCTAGTGAATCTGTTGATGCGACCAAGGATTATGTGCAGGTACAATGTGATCATGGATTTTCCAATCACAATAGACATAAATCGACTCATCAGAGGAGGAACGTGAGTAATACGGCCCTATAACTTCAATCCTAGTGTGTATATGCGACTCATGTTGATTGGAATTCAACTTTTGATTGACAATGTAGATTGATAAAATTCGAGAAGGAAGAGTATGCAAGGATCGGGGTAATGCCTCGCTATGGTGATGCTAGTTCAGTCTGCTGGTTCGATGTGGAACCCAATAGCGCTCTGCATATTCTGAATTGCTTCGAGGATGGCGACGAGGTAACTATTATCTGAACCGCGATTATATTTTTCAGGGATCAATTCTAAAATTGTGTAAAAATTCATGGCATTGAACAAGGTTGTAGTGTGGGGCTGTAGGTCTCTTGAATCAGTCATTCCAGGCCCGGATTTTGGTTTGAACAAATATGAATGGTTTTCGAAAAGATTGAAGCCAATTAGATCAAGCGAAGGAAGTGTTGCCACCTCGACAGAAGACGAAACATCATTCTTTTTGTGTGCGTATGAATGGCGATTGAACATGAAAACCGGAGAAGTTAAGGAAAGAAATCTCACAGGAACCAAATACTCCATGGACTTCCCTATGATCAATGGCAACTTCACAGGCCTTAAAAACAAATTTGGATATACCCAAGTTGCAGACTTGTCAGCAAGCTCTACCTCAGGTGATTGATCATATATTAAACTCTGTCATCCTCCAAAACTATGAACCTGCTCCGTGAATCTTGTCGATCATCCTTACCGATTTTTTCGACTTTTATGATAAATTCAGGCATGCCCAAGTATGGAGGCCTAGCCAAGCTATGGTTAGACGAACCGGAAGCCGGATTTTCATCGGTAAAAAAAGGGCAAAAGAACACTACAAGTGCCATAACTTGTGTACGGCGCTCACTTTAGTGCCATAACTTTTTTTTGGATCACTTTAGTGCTAAAATTTTTGAAAAACGATCACTTAAGTGCTAAAATTTTCGAAAAACGATCACTTAAGTGCCAACTCCGGTGCCGTACACAATTTTTCGCCGGAAATCTGACGCGGCATTTTTTTTATTAATTTTTGAAACTGACGTGGCTCGCCGGAGATTGGCACTTAAGTGATCGTTTTTAAAAAATTTTAGCACTTAAATGATCGTTTTTCAAAAATTTTAGCACTTAAGTGATCGTTTTTCAAAAATTTTAGCACTGAAGTGATCCAAAAAAAAGTTTTGACACTTAAGTGATCGTTTTCCCTCCGACTTGGCACCAAAGTGATCCGAAAAAAAGTTATGGCACCAAAGTGAGCGCCGTACACAAGTTATGGCACTTATAGTGTCCTTTTGCCGTAAAAAAAGAGGCTTTTTAAACATTTTTTTCTGTTCTTTTTGCCTTGTTTCCTACTCGTTGATGCAATTATGCGTAATTCATGCACATGTTCATCTTCTTGTTTGCACCAGAAAGAGAAGCCGTTTGAGGACACGATTAAGGTTGAGTACCATAAATTTGGAGAGAACGTCTTCTGCAGCGGAGCTGCATTTGTTCCTGAAGAAACTGGATTAGAAGAGGACGATGGTTGGATAACCACCTTCGTTCACGACGAATCTACCGACATCTCCCAAGTTCGTGAATATTCACGACAAGTATAATTTTTTATGGTTTTTTCATGTAAGTTCAAATTTCACTAGTTCTTGCTACTTCATTGCAGGTACATATAGTTGACACCAGGAACTTTTGTGGCGAGCCGGTTGCGAAAATAATGCTGCCCTCTCGAGTTCCATACGGTTTCCACGGAACTTTCATTGTCAAACCCCATGTGGTGAGACCGTTCGCGGTTCGTGACGGCGAGGCCATACAAGCTTGAACTGAGCCCACGACTCAGGGCCATCGAGGCTGTGTGAGGTCGGCATTGAGCTCGTTAGCAGAGCTCGACCATGGCAGGAGTTCAATCTCGATCTGGCCTTGAGCTGGGGTCAGCGACGGCCTCCGAAGGAGCAATGGTGGTGCGCGGTGGAGAGGGAGATGTTGGTGTTTTTTATTTTTATTTTTTGGATGGGGTGTTTTGAGAAATATAATGCCAATATGCTAAATCATGTGTGGGCCTGAAAATTATTGTAAAGAATATGTATAATAATTGTAATATTTTGAAATATGAGAAGGGTATTTGATATCGGAAATAAAGTGGAAGAGGATTTTCGTAATTTTTCTCATAATTACGCCCCTCACCGCAAGAATTGATGTAAAGTTGGATGCCAAACGCTCATTTTTATGAAGCTCTTACCTACATTTCCCCAAGCTTCTGAAACTATTAGCAGTTTCACGTATATGGATATTTAAAAATTCTTGAAAATTCGGAGTCAATTCCACATTTAGATATGGCAATGACCAACATAGCACATCAACATGTTACCTATTTGAGCATGCGAGTGAGTCAATTCAAAAGAGGCATATTCCTCCGACCCTTCAGCCTAACAATAATGCCAAAACAGCCTTACCAACCCAATTTATGTCAAGTGGGCTTAAGACAATTGGCATTACACGCCATCTTCAACAAATCAGGAACTTTCACTGTCATCGTTTTCTCATTGAAGTGATTAATTTCTGATCATCCTGACGAGGAAATGACATTTTCGTGGAAATAATCCATGGCTTTGAGTCTCGTGACATGTGACATTGATGTGGTGAAAAAATAATAGGTACACCTATATCGCCACATAAGCCATGCATAAGTCCACTCATCGATTGTTATGTAGCCATAATAGGCCTACTTTTAAGATCTAATCTCTCTCCTTCGTTACCTCCTCTTTCTTTCTCCTGCACCTGCACGGGGACCGATGTTCACATGCCCTCTACCTCACTTGAGCCCGACCTCTATGCCTCCCCCATCGTCGTCACCGGCAGAGTCGCTGGCTCTGACTGAGCCAACCAAATCTAGCCGAACAATGCCTGATGATGACCATGGATGAACCGTGAGCTGCTCGTTCCGAGCAATCGCAACGTATTGAAAATGATAACAATGAGGTGTCGTTTAGCAGAGGGATTAATAAAATTCCTGAACGATGTCGACAACGGCAATGGATGAGCGTCAGCGTCGCTCGTGAGCCGGTCGTCCATGGCTGGCCAGTGAGATCTGTCAAAAGAATCCCTCCTTTGTCCATGGTGGATGGGAAAGATTGATACCCAGGGAATCATTAGCAATGCCCGAATGATGCCGACAACGGCCATGGATGAGTGTTGGCATGCTGCCGGTGATGCTGCAATCCACGGCCGCGAGGGTCGTCCATGGCCTCAAAAGGCAAAAAGAAAAGGAAAAAAAAAACAGTAAGAGAAGAGAGAGACTAATGAAGGAGAGAGAAGTGGGCCCATTATGGCCACATGACAATCAATGAGTGGACTTATGCACGACCCACATGGCAAAACAGATGTATGTAATATTTTGCTTGATGTGGTAGGGAACAACCAATCAGAGCACGCCAAATATGCATTTAACCCATATTAGAGATCACGGAGAAAAGTGGAGGGAAGTGGGTGGACGAATACTGTGTTGAGTATTAGCATCCGTGTCGACTGATGGCTTGGTGTGTGACAATAGATCTAATACTTTGTCGTCCTCGGCAAACTAATACATCCCTTTCCAATTTGGACCAGCCTAACAAAGTGTCTTCTTTCATTGAATGCAAACTAAGCAGGGATATTCGTAGAATAAATTTTCAAATGAAACAATAATCCTTTGGCTCTATGTAAAATTGTTAAATTACATAATCGCATCGCATGGACTCAATAAGTACGAGTATATAAACCTTATCGACCCTTTAGAAAGGAGAGACAAAGAAATGCTATCTTCACGCATGACACTTCAAGTTCATTGCTCTGCGCTCCATTTGATCTACTTTGACCCCTTCAAACGTAATCTCTCTCTCTCTCTCTCTCTCTCTCTCTCTCTCTCTTCTCTCACGCACATCGAAGTTGACAGAGTTGATCCTTCTCTTTAGCCGAGATCCCCCAAAAAATTGATACTTATATGTAGTCATGTCTATATAGTGATCATTTCGATTTTCCTTTGGACAGTATTGATTACCAACACTAATTTGAGTTATTAGCGATCTTCATTTATTGGCTATTTTAACATTGTCAGCTTTTCATATTGCTTATAAATTTTTGTTTGCATTTTTTAGCAACACATTCACCAACTTTTTAAAGAAATTACCAATCTGACTAGAGTAGATCACCGAGTTTTTTCTGATTGAGTTACTAATTAGTTTTGAGTTATCAACTTTCATTTGAATTACTTACTAAGTTTATTTATTTAGTTATCAACCTTTTGTAAATTTCACCAAATTTTATTTATATATTTTAATTATACTTTACATTTTTCCAAACTATTATATGAACTTACTAACTTTAATATGAATCAGTTATCAAATTTTCTCTGATCAAGTTAGGTTACCAAATCTTATTTGAGTTAGTTGTTGACGTTTATTTGACTTTTTTAATTTATCAACTTTTCTACGGGATTACATAATCAAGAATAAAGATGGTAAGTCACCAAATAAAGTTCGGGAATTTCATATAATAGTTGCAAATTTAAGGTTTTGGTGAGAAAGTTTAAATAGAAGTTGCCGACATTAAGAGAAGCATTTTTGTTAGAAATAAGAGAAGTTTGTAACTTAGAAAAACCAAAAATATTGGTAACTAACTTAAATGTGACCCAACAACAACATATCGTAGCTAAATCACATGTGAATATGATACATTTGATGAAAATGCTGCAAATTCTATCACGACTCTCATCGTAGATGATAGAGAGAATTTACCTTCTTTCTTTTCATCACTCTCATGGCACATTGAGAGATATTAAGTAATCCACCTTTAGTGGAATGCTCACACTTGATGTCCTTAGAAAAATATGGTTATCTTCAAGCTCTCATACATGTCTCACGTTTGTTAGTATGCACTCTCACCCATCATGCATTAGAATTAGAATCTCCCTCGTCACTACAACCTTGTAGGTTATGTTATTCCCCATTACAACTCTACCACCATATTTAGTCTGATAAATGATAAACTAGTTCCTATGAGACGACATATGATAAGAATACCCTGTATCCGGTACCCATTTGTCTTCTGACAAACCGGTAGTCATGCGCAATATGGTCTTCGCACTATTAATGCTCTCCTTGGCAATGTTTTCCACACTTGTTGTGGCATTCTACCACCTTTATATCCCAGTTTCAGCATTCTTACTCATGTGTCATCCTCGTTACACTCAAAACTCTTCACACAACCATTGGACCTCCAATAGTGCGACTTTGGCCTACTTTTACCTTTGTTGTTAGACTCCAATGTACATCTCTACCTCAAATCATTAGTCCCCATGCTGCATCCTGCCCTAGAATGTCATCTCGCTAGTTTCTCTACCACTCCTTATAGAGCAATGTGGATTTTACCTTTTCTGAGGTAATCGTAATATGCCCTAATAACAGTGAATCAATATGGAACTCCAATGGCTCTAGTAGAGACGTCAACATCATCATATCTTGTTTTTCATCAATTAGGGCCTCGTCGAATCCTTTGACTCCATCATGAATTTGTTAAACTCATCGAAATGGACTTTAATGGAAGTACCTTCAGCAAATCGAAACTGAAACATCCTCTTTAATATGTATAAGTGATTATATAGGCCCTTCATTATAAAAAAGGGTCTTATATTTTGCCCACAACATTGCGACATCCTTCTCCTTGGCCACTGCTACTAACACCTCATTTAATAGGTTCAATAGGATTATACTCTTTGCCTTCTCCATTAATTAATTCTTATCGGCCACAGTAATCATTTCCGATAACTTATCTTTCATCAACGCCTTACTCAAACTTTGGGTTGTTAATAGCGCGGGAGTTCTACCCAAAAAAAAAAAAGCAGCGCACACGTCTTAACGCTTCACAACACAATGTTATTTATTATGCTAAATGATGCACCTAACCTAATGGGGACCGGCGGACCCGTTATGCGACTAGACGAATCGGCGGGTTTGAAGTCAACGATGTCGGATTGAGCTCAAATTTGGTCGGCTGAAGCGAAACGGCGTGCTGATCAATACTCACTGCCTTTGGCTGTGACTAACGATGGATTTTCGCGATTCGAGATTGTTTAGATGGGTTTTTCTATTTTTTTAGTATTTTTTTTATGGGTTAATTTAGTAAAGGGTAGTTTCGTAATTTTACGTTTTGATGTTTCCTAATCCTAGTAGGGCTTCGTTTGGGGTTATATAAACTTTTTTTAGGGTTTCTTTCAGCAGACTTGGATAATTTTGATTTGATAATCATATTTGGAGGACGAATTGTTCTTCTGACGAATTTTCTTGTTCAGTCAATTTTTCTATCGCGTTTCGGCATCAATTGGTATCAGAGCACAGGTTGCTTGAATCAATGGCTGAACAGAATCGCGGTCGTGGACGGCGGGCTCGTGGTGGCCGGGGGCGTGGAGGCGTTCCTGAAGCAGACGATCAACCGCGTCTAAGAGATCTGCGAGACGTAGAAATTGAAGAACAGAGAAGACGAATCCAGGATTTGGAGCGACAACTTGCGGAGGCGAGGTTGGGCGTTCAATCCGAAGAAGGAGCGGAATCTGAGGATTCATCCGATGATGAAGAGGAGGACGTAAACCCTTTTGGGGTTCTGAACCAGGGGCGGAATCGAGGAGTACGACCTGGAAATCAGCGTTCTTCACAAAATTTCGGAATAAAGATCGAGATTCCTGAGTTTAATGGTAAGGCTCATCCTGATGAGTTTATTGATTGGTTGTATACGGTAGAACGGATTTTTGATCTTAAAGACCTAACTGAGGGACAAAAAGTGAAGTTAGTG